CCTACCCGATCTATGATCGGGTAAATCAGCTTGTTGATAATAACAACGTAGATGTCCACCAGAGGCGTGAGAAGAGGCCCTTCGTGCGAAGGGGGCATTTGTACGCCATTAAGTAATAACGCATGCATGATTGTAGGATTTGATCAGCGCTCCCCATTGAAAATACAGTACGAGCCCTCCCCCCTCCCCAGCTATTGATTTTTGGAGGCCTAAGTGTTCGGAGAAAAAAAACCGGTTTACATTTCAGCACGCCTCCCTTCAAACATTTCTGGTTCTGTGTGCTGAGATTTTTGCGAAAGAAAAAGTCGAAATTTCCCAAGTATCAGAAAAAAATAAAACTCTTGCATTTTACTACAAAAAAAAAAATCCGATACACTTTCACAATTTAATTTTTAATTCTCAAATCTCATTTAAAAAGAAGAAGAAACGTACCTCATTTTCTGATTCTGACTATAACTGGTCTTCTTAAGTCGTCAGGGGCAATTGTCTTGGAAAAAACATGGCAGCAAACATATCTTGCGTGTAGAGAATATATGTTTATTATGTCGGAAGACATCGAGCTCCGTTGTGATTTTGTGAGTACTCACTCGACTTGATTAAGTTATAAACGACACAACTCGCATGCTAATTGGCTATTATTTACCCGAGAAAATAACAGAACTTTGACGGCCTTAGGAGCTACGTGTTAGGCCATAAAACAAACAAGTATTAGAATTCGACATGATAGAAATCGTCTGCACTTCTCTGTCGCGTGTTGAAAGCAAACATATGCTGGAAGGACAAGATGTTAGTAGCCTAAAGGTGGCAAGACAAAAGATACAACCCAAAGATGACGGGAGGAGGGGATTACTAAGTGACTGAAAACAATCAGCAAGGTCGTAGGAAACAAAATGAGGAACTCAGTAAACACCAAAACAGTGCATGCCGTGGGGTTTCTTTGTACCAAAAATACGTAAGAACAGCAAAGCTCAACAAAAACCAAAATAGGCAAAAACAATCCATCAGATAGAAAGATGCTAAAAGGAAATGCAACGAAATGTTTTTTTTTCTCTCCGGTTGTTTGTTTGCAAATTGGCCAGGCAAGTCTATCCCAAAGCAAACACACAGCTTGGCCTAAGGCTATTGAGAGTTCAGATTTCATCACCATCCATTGAAAACGTACTCGTACAGGATATGATGGTATATCACTGACACTCATGTGAAATAGCTTTCAATACGTTCTTCGAAATGCATTTGAAAACACATTGCATCCGTTGAAAAAAAATAATACATAATTTCCCTCCTATGTATTACACTAGCTTTTTTTTCAACGGAAGATATGATTCGTTCTATATTTTCAAAAGTATATTTCGAAATAAACTGTACTTTCCTCATGCAATGACTGAGTAGGCACAGAAATAAAACCGCTGCATTATCATTTCGATTCTGATCCAAGGTATGATAATTTTGATCCCTCAGCTCGATCTCCACAGGAGATCAAGTGATGTCAGTCCACATCACTGACTCCTGTCTGGCTGGAAGTGAACATCATTTATTCTGCCTTTCCGATGTGGGTGGCTTTTCGTCTAATTAACAGGATTTGTTCAACTAACCAAGGCCTCTAATACTGTTCTTCCGTGCTTCCGTCAACGACTCGCCTTTTTCTATCTTATCTCGCGACACTGGGCGCTCGTTTGTCACAACAACAGAGTGACAATGCTGCTAATGCACGGATCCATTATCGACAAAACACTGACTGACAGAGGTCGAGAAAACACAAACTCCAACTGAGAACCAATTTCAAATCGCCGCGTATGTTACAATAATGCTTTTAGTACGGGGATGTTGGTGGTGATGGGGGAGTGTGATTGCGGGCGGTAACTATAATTGGAAGGCCGAATTTGCTGGTGAGGGCGGCTCAAATTACATGGAAGACGTGCAATATGATGATCTATTATCAGATGGGATAAAACAAATTGCCTTTGTGACACAAATATTCCTTTACTTGAAGAAGATGTGATCCAGCTCAATTGTAAGACAATATCAAGAAGTAGGTCTTGCACCCCTTGTGGGGAAAGGCAGAAACTTACGTCAATCTATATATACATACACCTCAAACAGCCATATCTGTTGCTAAAGGTAATATCAGAAAAACATCTGTTGAAGGAGAAATAATTTCCATGGCGTATTTAACGGACAAAAATGGGACCTGTACAGTCTCCTCATCGATTACTGTCTCGTTAACAATTAAAAACAGGTGCACTCACCGTATTCTCTGTAAGAGCATGTTAAAATCAATTCTGGAACGGGGTAGTGCCCTACTTTTGAGGTCTCGATTGTGAAAGTAAAGACATATTTCGGAACACGGTCCCAAACTTTTTTGAGCACTGACTAGAAACTACGTTTGGAAAATGTCGTTTGCATAAAAATAAATAAAAGAAAAACAAGGGAGCGATGACCACTATTGCCCTCAGTATGCCAAATCAAATATGTAATGGGATAATTCAATTAAAATATTCCAGTGGAACATTTCTTTTCTTTCGGCTGAGATGAAGGATTAGAAAAGATGTTTTCTCTGTACATCATTTACTATGAAATAGCGCACATAGTGTAAGAATTTAATGCCAAATTCTCTGTAAAAATGATTCATACTAACCATTTTAATAATTAATCTATACATGAAATCTTTCAGATTATAATGTTCTCCCATGGAGTTTATCACAAGAAATCCGCTCATCTCTGCTCATGTCGACGACCGGTCATGAGACGACCGGTCGGCAACATTAAAGGAAGTTTGTTTTTGATAGTTACCGCAAGAACTCAATTATACTGGGTGTAAGTCTGTCGGTTATTTGTCAAACAAAACGTAGTCATGGCTGATTCAATTCAGTAAATGGGCTCAACGATTTACAAAGCGATATTAATATTATGCTTATTTTATGCAACACAAATCAAGAGAAATCAAAGGTACCTGGGGAGAAAAACCAAACGATTCTTTGAAGTATTCGGGAAACAACTCTTTTAAAAGCAACTGTTAAGTTTAATAAATTATACAGTTTGCGGGTAGAACCATGTGAACGATATCTCTTCTTGGAAGAAGTAAGGTTCTGAAAAGAACCGGTTGGTTGCTGGGAGAAGGATGGTACTTTTGAGAACCACACTTCTTCATAGAAGAGATGTCTTTCCACATGGTGTCACCCGCAAACTTTCCATTTGTTAAGTTTGGTTACGTCTCGATAGTCCGAAGTCGCACGGGTCCGACGAAACACAATACTGTGTATAGTTCCACTGGTTTGGGTTGACTGACCCTAACCCTAACCCCAACCCTAATCCTAATCCTATGGGGCGTCTGACCAATGGGACCTCAGACCAATGGGACTTCGGGTCAAAGGGACTTCGGACCAATGGGACTTCGGACCAATGGGACCTCGGACCAATGGGACTTCGGGTCAATGGGACTTCGGACAAATGGGACTTCGGACTAATGGGAAGTCGGACCAATGGGACTTCGGACTATAGAGACGTCCCCGTTAAGTTTGATGTGAATTTTACATTTAAAAGATACCAGTTTAAGCAGTAAGTGATACCCCAATTTTAAATGGGATACCCCAATAAAAAATCTGTATGTTTAGGCCAAAAAAAAAAGGCTCCGGTTTCTGTTATGCGCGCGCGTCGCCGTAGCCATGCGCGTCGGCAAAATGAAAAAGTTTTTTTTCAATGAAAGATGATGTTTCAAAACCGCCAAACTCACTGGTTTAACTGGAATCCTGCTGCTGCACAATTTTAACGTGTTTTTAGATGGGGTTATGATCGAGAATAAGCTTTATGTGGCCTCTCTGGACTCCCATATATATGCACTAAGTTTAGTCGGGCACCATTTGCAGTCATCAGCCGACATTTGAAGCAAAAAAGTCGAGTAAAAAAAAAAAAAAGCCGCGTCGCCGCACCACTTTTTGGGCAAGCTCCATACCAGAAACCGGAGACTTTTTTTTTTGGCCTTAATAACTTTAAACATCATTTTAGCAGTATTATTTGAAATCACTACGCTACAATTTTTGTCAACAAAATCAATCTCTGGATAAACAACGGACAATTATGGATAGGATTTTGGTTCAGTGTCATGGTTTTTTGCATAAATTGCACAGCTTGTTATCGTTCATTCCCAAAAGGCAATGCAAATATTAAAACCGGTCTATTTGCCAGTGCCCCAAACATGGAACACACTGTAGCTCGGGGAGCCGGTGAAACATGAGGATTACTGTTGGCTTTACCAGCCAACAATAAATATTTACGTCAAGCGGTTTTAGAGAATTATGTAAATAAATTCAGCTGTCAGGAAGTCAAATCTATCGGAATAGAATAAGTCACATGAAGGGACAGAACAGTATTACTGTATTTTTCAATATCTGGAAAATTGCTTCTTAAGCCTCGGATATAATGTCTTGGTTCAAGTGGCTTACATTCTTTTCCCATGAATGATTTAAGTGCAAGCGCTCATCAGAATGCTGAATTTTAATCAGATGCTCTTGGTAAACCGTCATCGCTATAATATGCCAACTTCTTCATATTGCACATAACCTACAGAAATGTCAATATTTTGCAAATTGTATCATCTCGGATTTAACTTCAAATATGAAAGTTTTCTTGCAGAGGTATAAGTTGGACACAACCGTAACGGTGCTAATACGCTGCTCAACATTTGTTCTGGTTATAAAAAAACTGTTATTTTCATGTTTTGGTCCCGTGTCATTAATCACACCTTATCTCACTTAAGCTTTCATTGACGGCTTTTTCATTTTTACTTGTTCCCCAATGCAATAATGTGCCTCAAATAGCCTGCAAAAGGAATTGCACAGGAAAGGCCCATACAAATGTCAGCAGTTTTCATTCGTACAGTCAATGTATCATCAATAATCTTTTCGGTATAGTTTCGTAGAAATATCAGGATTTCTGAAAAGAACCGTTCGTCAATCACCGAGAAATCAATCACAGTTGACTTGAACTCTGATTACTGAACTTACTTGTTCTATTTTCGGCGCAGATTACTTGTAGCATTGCCACGCCGTAGTCCAATGTACATTAATGTTCCCGAAGTCCCAACGTGCGAACAGATGAGATAAGAAAATCGAGGTAACTAGGCGACATCACTCATCCCCTGTCCTATTTGTCCAACATTTTCAGAAGCGCGTTGATTCGAACGCACATCACATACTCCGCACAGTTTTAGTGGCATTACTTTCCGAGGCGATCAGAAACACTTCATAGTTTAAACTGTGCCAAGTATCCAACATAAAAACTGTTTCGTAGACATCAATGACAGAAATATTATAGCCTACATGGATTGTCGTAAAGTGTAAGCGGAAAAAAAAGAAGCTTGCGCCAAGTCCGAGCAATGCGGTTGCATTCATTAAGTTGTTGGGTTTGTCACAGCGAACAATTCCTACGTTTGTCCCTATAGTTCTTCAATCACAGATTCAAACCCTTGTAAGGGATCGGAGTCCGGCTGTAGGACGCACGGCGCTTCGAAGTCCTTCATAAGGGATAACTCTTTGTTTTCTTTCAATTTTCAGGAAACTGTGCGAAAACCTCCCGCCCATTCAAACATAATCCACGGGGTACTTTACGGGGGCTTATGGTCTTAGAAAGGAAATCGTCCTGTGTTTTCAAAGCCGACACTCTCTCAACGGTCCAAGAAAACACTAAGAACCATCCTTTTAATTTGCAAGGACATATTACTTGTCGAGGGATTAGGGTGTTGAGACAGTCTGAGAATGAAACCGTATCGGTACGGTAAACGATTCCCTTTGGGTAAACTTTGCAGACTTTAAAGGGATCGTTTTGCAGATTTCTTACCTTCGGTGTCTTTTCCTATTTGTCCCGCGTGGATTTCATAGTTGTTATAAGGATTAGAACATCTTGACAAATTGAAACTGTTGGACACGTGGTGGAATAATACACCTACTGTTGTTAGGGGAGATACAGACAAATTGGCCGAGGGACGCTTGACATTTAAACACCTGGCTTATTATAAAACATCGCGGGAATCGAGGTTAATCAAACTAAAAAATAAATACATAGGCCTACCTCTTAAATGTTCTCAATTACCAGTAATGTAAATCCGTGTCGGCGAGTGGGGGATGACCAAAATCCTGAATTTGCTCGATTGTTGAAATTCGAACATTGAAAATAACCTAGCTATAGTCCATCATTTGCAGCCATCCGAAAAGTAACTGGCGTAATTATTGTTGAAAAACAAACTTGGTTGAAAGATAGTAAGGGAACTAAACTCCCTGTGAAATTATTCTTTCTGGGAACCTGTCATTTTGAAGTAATCAACGAAAGAAGGCCTTTCCAACGGTGCGTCTTAAGACGCACCGTAGGAAAATTTAAATTAGTAGTTCGTTTTGTTATTCGGCGAAGCGCGTGCAAGCATTGGCACGACGCACACGCGCGCGCGGTTGCTATAATTCGTCGGATCAGTGCGTGACGTCGCGTATAGCTGCAATTCAAAACAATTCAAAACATGATTCAGTAACTTTTGATTTGAAATTGAGATCCTAGAATGCTGATTTTCTCGGAATATACAGCTGAAGCTTAGCTGAAACTTCATCAGGTTAGTTATTTAGTATCCTTCATTAGATTTTGAACACTTTTGTTGCTTAAAACAAACAAAATGCACAAATTACAAATGATGGACCATATATTTTATGCAAAACCTACAAAAACCTTTTGCCCCCTGGTCAAGTGTGGGTGTGATGTGTGTCGGAAGGACCCCCCCCCCAATTTACGACTTTGTCAAGAATAAACTTTTTGGAAAGGCATTATAGGCATCTTGATTCAAGATGCCTTATAGATGGAAAATAATTCGACACATTTGACATTTTTGCAGTTCTACTCCTTGGCGCACCCGGGGGGGGGGGGGGGGCGCTCGGAGGGTCTGAGCCCTCCCTCTCAAGAGGCCGGTTTTTTTTAGTCCCACGATTGGACCGTGTTGATATGTATGTGGCCTATTTTCCAGTAGTAAAATAGGACTGTAAATGGCGCCACCAACGTCAAAATAATCCATCCTCCCACCTCTCAACAAAACAAAAACATTCTTGGGCCAAATTTCGGGAAACATTTTTTGCAAAAATCAAAATTCTAAAAAACATCTAAAAACTTCCTCAGGAGTGTCTATTTCTCATTAACAGAGATAGTAAATTGATGAACGCTTCAAAACAAAACCAGAGGAGACAATTCCGTTTTCAAGTTGATAAGAGTGCACTTCCATCTCTATGGACCATGCCATAACCGCATAGTTACCAGGATTACTGACAGATTATCTTTGATGCTTGACGATATTCATCTCCCTAAAATGTGAAGAATCTTGAGGCAGCGTCCGGGATCACTTGCAATCAGAATTATCCTCGGGTGCTATCGCTTTGATGCTCCCGTACCTTGAGGATAAACGTACCGTTGGGGAAATCAACAGTTTCGAGTGTGAAACGATATATTCTGCTTCCCCTGAAAGATAAGAAGGCGCCCAAAATGGAATAAATCAGGAACTTTTTTAGTTCAGAAACATCGTTGTTGAGACGTGTTCAAATATGACCCTTCCGGAGGCGATAGAAGTGAAAGTAATGGTTGGTATACTATCTGCAGACACTTGACGTATGCAAGACGTTTTGCTCGTTGAATTGCAAGGATTTCATGATATTAAACGACGTTTCGGTTTAGCTTTTTTTAGGAAAGATTTTGATATCCTGAGTACTGTGAGTGGGAACAGCCTGGAATAATCTCACACGAACACTCGACCAGAAAGCTGGTTCGGCGCAGTATAAGTTTGGCGCAAATTACACTCGACAATCAGCAGCCTTAGGAGAAAAAGATGAATCGAGCAAACGAGCCACTGATGCTCTTTAAAACTAAGAACAGTTTCGGTAAACTGGTGAGAAAATTTTATATTTTGGAAATAGTCAGAACAAAGGTGAAGGCAAAAGAGGCGCATTGGCGGCGCTACGGGGAGCAAGAGGTCACCCCCGAAAAAAGTCGTCCTTGCCCCCCCCCCCATCCCCCACCCCCGAAAAAAATGAGGAAAAAGGAAACAATTAAGGTGAAATAAAATGGAAAAAAGGGGAAAAAAAGACACTGGAAGTCTATATTTATTTTAACTGTACTTTAATTTTTAATGTATCTTTTAAGACTGGACACCCTCGGAAATGCCTCCCCCACAAAAAATACCCAAACAAACGAACAAACAAACAAACAAACATGATGTCCATCCCCTCCCCCGCTTTTCGATTCTTCCACGGCCGATGATTTTGGTTGCCTCCTATTTTGCCCCTTCTCCCTGTGAACTAGTGGAACTCGGTGCACTTGTAAACAGATGAAAATTTATGAACTAATTTTGTGGCGATCATTTGGTGAAAAATGAAATCTCAGGGAGACTAAAATGTCTTTTAGAATATAAATGCTCATTTTTAATCAACTTGACCGACACATTAGCATTTACAAAACTATATAATATAACAAAATTTAAGCCAGCCCGACTAAATCTAGAACCCATCGGCTGTAGGTTGGTAAATCTTCGCGTCGTAATACAATTTCGGTTCTCACGCAATTGCGATGTGGAAACAAAAAGCGTGAACGAACAAGGAGACCTCTGAGCGAAAATGCCGGATGTGAAAGGTTGTAAGGAACATTTGTTTTACCCAGGATTTTATCATTATTATTTTTCTTAAGGAATACTAAGATAATATTTCAACATCAATGTTTCTTGGGGTGATTACGGTTAGAAATAGGTCTGTCATTAAGTAAAGCAAGAACATTTGGCTATCTTGTGTAAAATGCCCATAGGCGGCCCGCGCGAGGGTTCCGGAAGCTCGCCCCGTGACCTTTTACTTTCAAACTCAAGCGTTATTAACTATATGGAAAATTATGCTGTTTATACAGCTTTGAACCACTTTTTGTCAAGTTAGTGGCTTTTTTCCGAACCAAAAATCACTTCTTTAAATAAACATTCCAAATCCTTATTAAACAGATCAAACTCTTTCTACACGCACAAACCCCTAAATCTCTGATACATGCATTTGCGCATGAATGTATAGGTTAACTGTCTCAGGTATCATGTCGGCAATTTGGTAACGTCTTTAAACAATTTGAAACTTGGAAATAAACATGATAGGTCTCCATCCCTATTACTGTTAGAAGGTGCAACATGAACTGTCTAGGGGAGATTTGTTTTCATGATAAGGAGCTTTTTGAGTCTGCAGGAAGCTTTGGAGATCTGGTTGCAATCTCCGTGATGCATGATAACCGCTTCAACGAGACCACTATGAAGCAAAGAGGTAAATCCAAGCTTGCATTCTGAATGGGGTCAAATATCCAATGGAAAAACGTGGGAAACACTGGCAGAATCAATGAAACAATGTAGACAGGATCTAACTTAACAAGTGACTGTGTAAAATATCCTGAGTTTTGGGGTCCCGCCCGTCTCGGATTTTCAACATTTTTCCCCTTCGACAAAAACTCCGCAGTGTTTTATATTGTGTTCATATTATATTTCAATATTATTATGCCATTATGTTGGCTTTTGGAACCTGTGAGGTCTTAACACTGCATTTCACGAATGAAACACAAAAAGCAAAAAAAAAAAAAAAACACGAAGCAAAATAGAGAAAAAAAAAAAAACACAAGGCAAAAAAACAAAAAAACCACGAAGCCAAACAAAAACACAAAGCAAAACAAAACAAAAACACAAAGCAAAACAAGACAAAACACAAAAACAAAGCAAAGTAAAAAAAAAAAACACTTGGACGGAATTCCAAACAATAAAGTCGACGCGTGGATTTTGAATCTATACAATTTCTAAATCTGAAATTGTGCAATCATCGTATAGTGTTGACTTGAATTTTGCACAAGCGAGTGTTAGGCCAAAAAAAAAATAGTCGGTCTCTGGTCAGACCGAAGTTCCGGAATTGATGCGGCGACGCGTTTTTTTTTTTTGGTGGCTTTTTTTTTTCAAGCTTGTATTGTACAGACAAGGTGGGTACTATTTTGGTTTTTTTGTGTCCTCATTATACACTGGTGTCCTCCATAATTTGCCTTGGTGCCCTTTATCATTTGCCTTGGTGCAATTTCCCCATTCCTTGGTGCTCCTTGGTGCAAAAATTTGAGGAGGTTCGGCAATAAAGGGCGCTGTTGTAGCTTCCGTGTTAATTTGAAGGAAAAAAAAAGGTTGACGCGCATGATTAAAATCGACACGCGCGCTGACCAGAGACCGAGTATTTTTTTTTTGGCCTTAAAGGTGACGAATTGCATCGATGGCGCGAGGCTTGCGTGAGGCTGCAGGCGCTGGATTCCAGCCAAGCTCGTTACAATTTGCAAATGATTAAAGTCATCGGACGCGTGCAATGCCTGAGGCATGACGGCAACGACCATCAACAAGACGAACAG